CTGCTTCTGCTGACCAATCGCACGGTGCACGCGTGCGGGGACAACAGCTGCGGCCAGCTGGGCCAGACGGGCGTCCCCCGCAGGGAGCGGCCAGGTGAGCCTTGCGCCGGCGGGCCAGGGCGCGGGGGCTCTGGGTGTGGGTTCTGCGGAAGACCTATGCACTGGACTCTGCGCTGCCCCGCGCGCCTGCGTTGGTTTCGTTTTCTCCATTTGCCTCGGATTTGTTTCGGTTTCCACTTCACCTTTAAGCGAAACTGAAAGGGAAATTAACCTGGGGCGCGGTACTCCAGGTAGAGATGAGGTCCCTGGCAGATGGGTTCTGACCTGAGCGCCTCCATGCAGAGGAGGCAACCGGCTCCAAACGTGGACGGGGGCAGACGCCTGCTGCTGGTCCGCCAACATCATGCGACATCGCTTGTATTAAACTTTAAAAATATGCAATAGCATTTTTACTGTTATTGTAGCGATATGAGAAAGAAGTTGCCTTTATCCTATGCTCAAAGACAATTCTTAACTTTTGATGCATTTTTCTCCTTGTGTTTTTTCTTTTCTTTTTCTTTTTTTTGGCGGAACTGGGAATTGAACTCAGGCCCTTCCGCTTGCCAGGCAAGCACTTTACTGAGCTATCTCCCTGGCTCCTCCTTGTGTTTTTTCTATATTTAATCTTTATAAACTTCATGTCAGTATATAATTTTGTATATGCAGTATTTATAGAACTCTGGAAACTGCATTTTTACCAAAAAAAAGAGTCATAAACATTACTCTTTTATTATGTAGCCTGCTAAAATATATTTTACAGAGTTTTTTTGTTTTTGTTTTTGCATGGTCTCACTATGCAACTCAAACTTGTAGTGATCCTCCTGTTTTCAGCCTCCCTAGTGCTGGGATTACAGGCATGTGCCACTACACCCGGACTCCATGGCCAGCAAGCACGCCTGGGCGGTGGGGCCGGGGTGGCATGCTGTGCCAGGGATCAAACCCAGGCCGCTGTGCTTGCCTAAGCAAGTGCTTAGTCCGTCTAAAATATGTTTTAAATTGCTACCTATCAGTCCAGATTCTGAGAGTACGATGATTTAAATATTGCTGTTTTTGTGGAACTTGAGCTGGTTCCATTCAGGGGCTTTTACTAAGTAATACTGATTGATATATATCAAGTAAATATTTGACTGAGTTCGTAATTACTTAGAATAGTTTCAACAAGAGTGTACAAGATGAAAAGCCTTTCTCCTGTCTTAGTTTCAGTTCTTGAGACTTGCAAATTTAATGACAAAAGGAGGATGGGGGGGCATACATTTTTATTGGAAGTGGGGATCACTGTGCTAAGTGAAATAGACCAGGCATAAAAAGACAAGGAAGGAATATAAAATGTTGGTCCCCTAGAAGCTGAGCATCCAGTAGTGCTTCCTAGAGAGAAGAGGAGGAGGCAGGGATGGACAGAGGTTAATAAATGGGCGCTAACCGACAGTTACATGGGAGTAAGAAGTCCTGTGGGCTACTGCGTAGTGGGGTGATTATTGATAATGATA